GGATTAAGGTATTGCCCCCTAATATATGAAATTACATTAATAGCCACTCCAAAGTTGAGATTTAATGACCTAAATTTGAATAATGGATATGTCCAATATTGGTGGAACTATTGAGGCCCTGGATAAATTACGTTTTTTTTCTCATTGTGGTTTGTCTGTGCAGTGCACAACCTGTGTGGCTATACAAAGTGGGGATGTATCTGGCCCTTACACTTGTATCTCACCATCACGGTCAGTATTTTATTATAGCTGTTATGATTTTCTAGAGGGAGTTACTATTGAGCTATCAGAAGAAATAAAGCTCTTCTAAGTGACCAGTTTTAGGGTATAATATAGGTTTTGGTGCTATTGTTTTGTTGAGCACATGTTTTGTGTCAAGCATTGTTTAAGAGGATGGGATTAATTCAATTATTACCTCTCCCAGTGTAATTTGATACTAATACAACTATAGAGACCATGTGCAACTTGGGATTTTGTAGCAATTTGTAATGTATGTTAGATATGTGCCTTCTGTGTGTACTTTTAATTCCATTCCTCCACCTGTTCAGTAATTATTTATTGAGTGTTAGTGTCAGGCTGTTGACTGCGTCAGGTGTGGTCACGAATATAAAGTTGAATATGGTGGTACTGTCCCTGAGGAATTACTCTGGCTTAGGATAGAGGGTAGCAGGATGTAACCAAATCTTCAGTCTTGGCCCAAGACCTAGTAAGGTCTAGAGGAAGCTGTTTCTAACAGCAGGGTTTTCCCTGCCTGTCCCTTGAGGTGTCACCCAGTAGGCAGAACCCAGGACAGGGTTGAGCCCACATCTTGAAGAAAGCTGCTGTGAACACACAGGGTTCCTCAGACATATCAAACATCAAAATGTCTGTTTTGCATGCATACTTATGATCATCACAACACAATCTGTTTCTACTGGTAAAGCTGTTACATTTGAAGGTAGATCCCAGCCACTGATTAGAGAACGCAGGTGTCTCCTTCCCCAGAGCCTCCTTGGACCTCTACAGCACCCCTAGCGGCAAGGATGAAGTGCCCGCTCCCAGCGCTGCTGGAGAAGACAGTCCCTGACTCCATTTCCATCTTCTCTCTGCAGGTCCATTTCCTCTCCCAGGATAAAGGTAAAAGGTGGCTCGTAGAGGGCAAAGGGAGCTCCTTTGTCAAATGGTTACCAGTGGCATGGAGAAAGTTAATATACCTCTTAAAATTAGCATATGCTTCCTTTTTTTATTGGTGGAATCTTCCCCTTTTTATGTTTAAAATCAAAATACTAAAGGCCCCGTGCATGAAATTTGTGCACGGGGCGGGGGGAAAGATCCTCTCAGGAAGGGTCTCCTCAGCCCAGCCTGCACCCTGTCCAATCCAGGATCCCTTGGGGGATGTCCGAATGCAGATTTAGGCCCATCCCGGGGATCGGACCTAAACCGGCAGTCAGACATCCCTTTCACAATCGTGGACTGCTGGCTCCTAACCACTTACCTGCCTGCCTGCCTGATCGCCCCTACTGCCCCCCCCATCCCAAGCCTGCCTGGTCACCCCTAACTGTCTCTGCCTGCTAGCCTGATTGTCCCCAACTGTCCCCCCCGCCGCTGTCAGCCTGGTTGCCCCACATAGCCTGCTGTTCAGTTGTTTGGTCGCCCCTCACTAACCCCCCTGCCAGCCTGGTCTCCTCATGCAGCCTGCTCCTCCATCGTTTGGTCGCCCCTCACTAACCTCCCTGATGGCCAGGTCGCTCCACACAGCCTGTTCAGTCGTCCGTTCGGTTGCAATGGTCACTTAGGCTTTTAGATAGATAGATACTCAGTTTTGATTGAATAAGGTCATATCCTCTTCCTACTTTTATTTTATTTTTTAAAAAGAATACCTTTATAGAACTGAAAATGTTATCAGTTGGGAGCTTTCCACGTCCCCATGTGTTGCCAGTGGAAGTGAGCTTCTTGCAATGTCACAAGAAAATGAATTTTCTGAGACTCACAGGGAGAATGAGTGGCTTTTATTTGCATGGAAGTAAACCCCCGAGTTTCCAAGGTCTCTTCTTCCTCTGTCCCTCCATGGGAGAAGTCCAGCTTTGTCTTCAGCAGAGCCAGGATTAAAGCCAATGCCTAGTTTCCTTCTGTGTTGTACAGTCCAGTCCTATATCAGGCTAGCTTAGTTTGTGTTCCCAGCGATAGCTCATTGTATGGGTCATGGGTCATGTGACTTCTAGAGCCACATGGCTATGGAGGAAACACAGGCGAGTGCATGGAAGCAGGAGAAAAGTAAGAGGAATAAAAAAGAGAGAGAATTCCTTTGTCTGTGGATTATATATTCCCAAATTTCATAAATTTGCATTGACTCCACCCCTCAGCCAATGATCTTTGTTTCCAGGTTAGATTGACAGGCACCTTCCCTATGTCACCTGACTTTACCTTGCATACATCCATCTTCCTGTTGTTGGTCCCCTTCCCCCAGAGATCTTCAGGAAGTGGATCTGGGCAAAGTTGCAGCTTCCTGTGAAGCTGCCCAGATGGCCATGCTTATAATGTCTGGCCTCCCTTTTGCTTTTTTTTTTTTTTTTTAATTATTAACAAGCTAATTACAATAGTAACAGCATGAAATACAGACAACTAGAGTTTTGAGAAGGGACTTTTGTGACAAATGATGAATATTGTAGGATAATGCAATATGGTATCTGGCCTGTCAGCCTCCTTTTCCTAGTTATTTGCAATTACAGTAGGACAATTAGATTACAGCTAAAACTTTTTCAAACCCTTGTAGAGAGATGAAAAAATTCATTGAACTGTATCATATTCTAAATTGTAAATGAAATTCAAGATTGATTGTTTGATAGGTTGGGGTTTTAAAATGAAATTTTCTTCTATGTTATTTTTAGAACTATATGATTCACCATAGAGATTGGTTTAGAAAGTTTAAAAAATATCGATGTTCTTTTATTCTTTTCAAATTGATTATAGCCTTTTATTTTTTCTTGTATCCCTCAAACTACCAGTTTCTTTGCCATTCTTAGAACTAGTTGGAATGTATGATTTAGCCTAAAAGTAGAATAAAATAAGCTCTATTTTGTTTTGTTTTTTGGAAAAGCTAAACAGAAGCATAGTTCATGCTATTCTTCTCTGGAAATGGGAAACCAAGTGTCTGATCTCATATTTTTATTATCAGGTTACACATCCTAGGAGGTATATTTGATGAAATATATTTGATGAAAATAATAGCTCTCCTGAAGGAATGCTTGTGTGTGTAGTTTGTGTACACGTGTGTGTGTGTGTGTGCACGTGCATGTGTGCTCATAGCTTTCGGTGTGTGTGGCATATGCAGGAATTGGGCAATGGTGTGTTTGAATTGGCCTGTGCCATCCTGTCTACAGAAGGCTTCCTTTCCTCTTTTCTCTGCCTGTTCTTCTCTCTGGGATTCTACTAGCCCTGAGACAATGGAAAGTACTTGTTGCTGCCTTGGCTGTACCCCAGGACTCCTTTCCTCTGTCAGTTCTGCTGTGGTAGATGGTGTATGGTTTTGATTCTATCGATAGGTCTTGTGTGTGAACCTCAGCCTTGTCACTGCTATGGCTCAACGAGCCTTCTAAGTTGCAGATCTGGTGTTTTTAACTTGCCTGCTGGTTAGTCATCTTGGGAAACTCACGCCATTCATTCAACACGTACTAGAATGCTGTCCTGTGCCAAGCACTGTCCTAGGTGTGTGTGTGATAGGTATGTGAAAATCACAGAAATCACGGTGCTCCCGGAGCTTACATTGGCTCCTTGATAACCCTTAGGTGCCCCTCTTCTGGGAGTGAGGGGCCTTTTCCCCAAGCCAGGGAAGTGCATTCACCTACTTGACCTTTTTTGGTTGTTGGGTTTCTCTTACCATTTAGTTTAGCATACAGATGAATAAGACTGTCCTCGGCATTTATGGGAGAGAGAGACAGACAGGAAAACATGTAAACCTGTTTGCTCCCCTGAAGGCTGGATCTGTTCTATAGAAAGGAAGGCGGTGGAGGAAAGAACCATTCTCCATCTGGGGCCTGGTTTATGGCAGGGGTGCTGTTTGGCTTAGCCTTGTAGTCCCTGGTCAGTGCTTGGAGGGTCTAGGTGTGGCTAGAGGGATGGATTTAGCAGACAGTGAAGGTGGAGGAAAGGGATAGGATGGACAAGGCCAAGTTTCGGAGGGCTGTGATTGAAAGTTGCAGAGAAGTCTGAGTTTCAAGAGGCATGGACATGACTTGCCCTCCGTTTCAGAAGGGCCACTGATGGCAGTGTTTGTAGGATGTGGTATGAGCAAGAGCTGGAGGCAAGGAGACCTGCTGGCCAGTTCTCTTTCATTTGTTCTTCTGTTTGTTCACACATACTTAGCTGGGGCTTGCCCTGACTTCATATGTATATGAGATTGTCAGTGTTAGATGCTATCCTAAGAAGAGCTGAGCCAATTTAATGCACTAACTCATCTTTCGAGTTTAAAGTTTGCACTCATGTGTCTTTTCGCTGAGTGACATAAGAAGACGACATTAGAGGGAGGTGACTTTGGGGTGGGCGTGTGGACAACTCCATCTCATCCATCAAGTGTCTCTTGCTCTTGGCTTCACTGGTCAGTGATGTATAAAAACGCAGCGCTCTGCGAACACAGGTAGATACCGCCCTCACCATGGCTGCATGATCCAAGAGTTAATTCAGAGAAAATTTGTCATTTACATTTTGTGATAAGAGCCGCAGAGAAAAACTGGAAGAAATCTAATGGGTTGCCTTGACAAAACGCTTCCACTGCCCTGAAGGAGCCAGCCCACTTCTCCTGGTCAGGGAGGGAGATTGAATTTTAAACATGTGGTGGTTGTTATTCATGCCCTTCTCCCCCTCTTAAGGTAGGAAATGTTCTTTGGACTGAGTGCCGTGCTGCTCAGCATAAAAGACATGGTGTGGAACTGAGACTAATTGACACGCTCCGGACTAGCGGGAAGGCGGGCTGCCTGTAATCAGGGGCAGAGCGCACACTCACAGAGGGTCTCCTTCTCCCCTAGGACCTCCTTCGCCGGGCATCTGGCCGGGATCCTCGTTGGACTCATGTACACTCACGGGCCTCTGAAGAAAATCATGGAAACATGTGCAGGTACAGAACAAAACTTCTTCGCATGGCCCACTGGAAGGTCATCTTCATCTTACTAGGGATGGAAGCAACCCCAAGTTACCCCGTGGGTCTGCTTAGGAATTCCCAATAGTCTCTTCTTACAACAAGAAGCATAGGAGCTGATACAGCTCCTCACATCACTCCAGAGAGGCTGCAAACTCTCATTCTAAACCCGAGGCTTTCCTATGCACAGAGAGTGGTTTCTATGTACACCCTCAACACTAATGCTACTCACGGAAAACCATGGTTTTCTTGAAAATGCAGAGAACGAATGTAGGTTTAAAGTAATGCATTCTTCTACAATATTCCATGACTTCACGCATGTGCAAGGCAAAAACTTGACAAAGAAGAATCTGTACTGAAGTGCAAAGAATTCAGAGTGACCACTAGGTCCTGGCGGGAGAGACATATTCACGCGCGGCCAAACCAGGACTGCTATTGCTTACAGCGTGGCTCCTGCTTTAACAATTTCTTTTTTCTTTTTGTTTCCTTCAAATTGATGCTCAATGAAAAGACTTTATTTTATTTAGAAATATATGAATTCTTTTAGGCCTCAATTTAAAATCTATATTGGTTATGGCTTTTAAGGACGCTATTTTGCAAACACTTTTTTTAAAGGCCTTATGAGTTCCAGTATTTCATCTTTTATTCATGGGAAATCTTCGGAGACTATTTTACCTTTTCTTGAACCACAAATAATTTGTTTTCACAGTTTGTGGCGATGGCTGGTGTTCTTGAGAACCATATAATATTCATGGCATCAGAGAGCTTTCTGGGCCTCGCACTGTTGCCTCTATTAGCAGGCCGTGTTCGCTTCTGGATGATTTTTACAGGCTGTGTTGCAGCTAAGCAGATGCATCTAAGCATTTTTCTACATTTGTTCATGACTGTGTTTCCAGTGATGTGCTTGGAGGAGGCAGTGGGAGCTTCATTAAAGTCCACTTTTATTATATTTTTTGATGCAACTTAATAATGGAAAACTAGTAATGAGCTTTATTGCCCAAATACTGTCAATACAGATAAAAGAAAAAAAAATTATTCTCAGGAGTTTGTTTTGTTTCATTTTTTCTGTGTGTGTCTGAAGATTCAGTGGTTAGTAATGCTTTTTGCACACATTACAAAATGTAGGCAAGTATTTTGTATGTAAAGATGATTTTTCCCGCAATTATAATAGGTAGATAGAGACATAGATATCTCACATATGTATGATATATATACACACAATGATACAACTTTACATCACAAGGATACATCTCTACACAGTGAAATATTATACAAGCATCCAAGAAGGAAATCCTGCTATTTGCAACAAAATAGAGGAAGGTGATGTCTTTACACCAAGTGAATTAAGCCAGAAAGAGAAAGACAAATATTGTATTATCTCACTTGTATATGGAATCTAAACCAGAGAGTAGAACAGTGGTAGCCAGAGACTGGGGGAAGCAGGGAGATATTGGTCAAAGGGTATAGCTTCCAGCTATACGATGGGTGTGCTCTGAGGATCTAATGTACAGCATGGTGATTATAGTTAATACTGTGTTACATACTTGACATTTACTGAGAGAGTAAACCTTAAGAATTATCACACAAACACAGAATATGGTAACTGGGAGGTGATTGTTTTATTAATTGTGGCAGTCATTTCATAATCTATATGTATATTAAGTCATCACGTGTACAGCTTTAAAGATCACATTGCACAACTTAAATATATACAATTTTTCATTTGTTAGTTATACCTCAAAAAAAAAAAGCCTTATGGCTACTATTAAAATGTCCGTTTTCTTTATATTTAGGCATTTTTTCCTCCAATAATGGCTACACAGGACAGCAATACTACTTTAATAATTCAGGTAAGCACTTTATTTTATTTAATTCATAATTTAAAAATTATAGTGTTCGCCACTGTGGAGACACTTTAAGGCAATGCTAGTTTATGCTGTTGTGGAGTTCACATGTTATGTAATTGTGCCTCTAACATGCCTGAAAGCTTGATTGAGGGGTAGCCTGTGTCAGTTGGTAAGGAAGACCAGGAAAGGAGATAATGACATGAAAATATTGAACAATTAATATGATATTTCTCAGACATGATAAGATTCATACTAGACCAGGGCTATTTCTACACTGCTACTCTTTATTCTCAGAATAAGAGAACATACCGCTTGCTAAGTATGAGAAGTTAGTTTCACAATTCTCACTAATCCACCCACACTGCATATTCAGGAAGAATCATGCTTATCCTAAGATAGACATTCCTCTGATAGTAATACCATGGGACTTTTCTCTGTCTGTGTAAATAGGTAAAAAGGACTTCTGGTTAAAGCATGTGACCTGCTTTAGGCTAAGGCCCTGACGGGCCAGTCTGGGGAGGCCTCTTGGTAATATCCTGGACCAGTAGCGGCAGCAGGTCTTAAAGAAGCCAGAGGCCACAGAAGCACTGGGTGTCTTGTAATCGTGCCCATTGGAAACTATTATAGCTTAACTCTGGGGTAGGGGTGTCGAACTCAATCAGAGAAGGGGCCAAAATCTAAAATCCAGCCTAAATCGCGGGCCGAATGGTTTACTGAACAGTCATAAACTGTCATTGTGATGGAAACGCAGCGGAGTGCAGTGATGACAGCGCGGTGCGGGCCACATTGCAAGGCCTGGCGGGACGGATTTGGCCCGAGGGCCTTGTGTTTGACACCTGTGCTCTAGGGCCTGCAGTCTTCTGTGTGAAGGGCCAGGTAGCTAATGTCTTGGGTTCTAACGGCCCTATTGGCCATATGGTCACTGTCACAATTAGTCAGCTTGCTCCTGTAGCAGCCGTAGATAATTAATAAAACAAATGCTGTAGCCGTGTCCCAGTAATATCCTATTTACAAAAGTGGTCAGGGGGTTGATAGGGAACCACACATTGTGGCTTTTGGACCCCTGGCTCATAGCCTCCCATTCTCTCCGCATGATATTCCTGTTTTTCTTTCAGTCATGAGCATAGATGCAGTAACTGTCTTCGAAATCCCTGATTGCTAATTATGTCCTCTCTGTATAGGATATTTTATATCTGTTTTATTAGGTTGATTTTTCTCCCGGATGTGGGTCACAGTTTTTGCATATCTAATAAGATGTGATTGGAAGCTACACATTCCATATGGTGTGATGCTGAGCGCTGGAGTTTACCTTCTTCTAAGAAGAAGGACTTTGTCTGGCATCCCGTTAAGTTCTGTGATGACTAGTTTGTTCCTTCTGGGGCTTGTTTTAAAATTATTTAAGGTGGATCTAAAGTAAATTTTTAGGGCTATTTCTGCACTACTATTGAGGTGTCTGTTCTGGGATCTCTCCTGAATGGTCTGGTGAAAGTTCACCTGTGCACACGTGGCATAATAGTCAGCAAGTCTCAGGGGGGCTCCATGCGTATTTCTAGATGTTTCTCTGACATACAGTTTTCTCCTTGGCTATAATGTGGTCCTGTAAATTCCTACGCAATACAAGGGCCTGCTGTGGCTGCTTGTGTTCCCCATCCCTGTTACTGCTGTCTGGACAGTGCCTCAGGCCCATTTCCTTTACTTCCTTTCTCTAAAGGTTCAAAATCTTGTGCTGCCTGTGTGCAGCCTGGAAACATTTGTTTTGTGTATCTTCCCCAGTCTCCTACTTGAGCATGGACTTGAGCTAGTGCAGCCCTGTTCCTCCCCCGTGGCTGGAGAAGCCCATCCAGCACCTGGAACCTAGTGTATTGAGTGCTCGGCCCTGGGGGGAAGCAGGGATTTGAGTTCCTGGAGGTTACCCGGAGGAAGGCTGCGTCTCCATCAATGAGGAGAAGTTAAGGAAAGCCATGGCAGAAGGGCTCCAGGCCTTTATGAAAAGACCTGTTTGGAATTATCCAGAACGTGCTGGGATGCCACTGAAGGATTCAATCAGAAGAGTGGTTCTATTGGAATTACATTCAAGCTATGTTTTTGATGTAGTTCTAAAGACTGGGATTATGAGTATCAGTCCCGGCTGTCTGTACGAATCAGCTGAGGAGCTGGTACAACATATCCATGCCTCGAATTCACCCACACCAGCTAAGTCTGAATAGGGGTGGAGACAGGGACTTGGACTCTTTTTTAAAAAGCTTTCTAGATGACTCTAAGGGGATCAGTATGGAAAAGCATAGGCTTACCAGATGGGGGGTTACCTAGGTGTGGGGAGCACAGAGGTGGAGACTGCTGCCGCGCCAATCCCGGGCTAGTGATGTGTACAGTTAACATCCTAGCAACGGGGCTTCCATGCCGGAGAGGGACAGTTGCTGGGCAGTGTCAGCTCACCTGCCACTGTCTGTGGACCCACCTGAAGACTGAGGAAGCGTAATGATTAGTGATCGACACAGTTACTAGATACAGTTGGCTTTTGACTAGCATAGGTATGAACTGCGTAAGTCCATTTATATGTGGATTTTTTAATAAACAGTACTATAAATGTATTTTCTCTTTGTTAATTTTTTCTTCTCTCTAACTTAGTTTATTGTAAAAATACAGTATATAACACATATAACACCCAAAATGTGTGTTAATTAACTTTTTATGTTAACGGAAGCTTCTGGTCAGTAGAAGGCTATTAGTAGTTATATTTTGGGGGAGTCAAAGGTCATATGCATATTTTTTAATACAGTGGGGGAGGGGGCAGTCAGTGTCCCTAACCTGAACATTGTTCAAGGGTCAACTGTAGAGCCATTTGGAAGAGCATTGGGTCCTGTGGTAGTTGGCTGTGGAGAACAGTCTGCACCGAGTTAAGTACAGTAGGGTTTAGTTGACTTATATGACTAAGAAGAACTGGGTTGGACAGGAAGACCACTTTGGTTGTACCTCCCATGGTGGTTTCTCTCTTCCCAGTGACTATTCCCTCCCTTGGACAGGCCACATGGCCACTACCACCTTGATGTTGCTAGAGGAAAGAGGGCTTCTCTCTTGGTTCATTTTTTTTAAATTCCCCAAAGAAACAGGAATGTTCCTCTGGACAAAAAGAATAAGAACATATCTTTACACAGACATGGCTTAAACTAGCTTAGATTACTTAGTCCTGACCTTGTGTGATGGCTTGTAAATGTTAAGTAATTGGGCTGAAGTCAAACAGGTTGTTAGTGATAGAACCAGGACTGAAAATGTCGGCTACTGATTCCTAGCCCCTGGCATTCTGCTGATTTAATCTTACAAAACAGAGCAGTCCTCCTTATTGTCTTTTCCTCCCCTTTTTATTGCACTTATTTACAGGGAGGTGGGGTGGGCTTCCTTATTTCTTGCTACATATGGAAGAGGCGTAAGTACAGCAGACACACAGACTAGGGAATTAAAGGCAAAAACAAAAAGCCCCCTTTACTGTTCTTCTTACCGCTGTGATTGCCATATTTGTACTTCTTCCTTTAAGGGTTGGGTTTCTTCAAAGGCAAAGCTCCCTAAGGCCAGGTGGCTGGGCTAATGGTCATCGAGGGAACTTTTAAGAGAGCATATGTATCTCCTATAAGTAATGATTTATTCTAACTATGGCTCTCCTTAGCTGCAAAAGTCTTTGCAGGTCAAAGAACCTCATGAATGTTTAAAAAGCTGCTACCAATTTTTTTAATCTTGGTGGTGTTTCTTGATCTCTTTTGCCAGAAGTTCTGGTATGTGTATAAGGAACAGATGGAGGAGTAGTTAATGAAATAACGATAACCAGAATTTCTTTTCCTGCAGAGCCAAAGTCTGTAGCTACAAAGGAATATTAAACTAGTATTCATCGCAGGATATAATTTAAACTTATTCATCGTAAGTGTTTGATTGTTAGGTTTTTCCAGCCATGTTTATTATGAAGACTTAAAAATGTCTGATTGGGCCAGCGGAACAGCTGTAGAAAATTTATGGTCCTAGGAGACCTGTTCTCATTATAATGGACATGGATGAGATTTTTGTTCTTGTTGATGATTTATGACTGATGATATAGAACCTTTAACCACACAAATCTTTTTGACTTGAGGCACTAAAACTTTCTCTTTCCTTCTCCCCATGTTTTGTCTGAGTAGTACCAAATTAGATTTTATAATATTCAGATGTTTAGAGTTGTAGGCTTTATTTCATTAAGGCTGGTGTGTGGGTTTTTGTTTTTTTTTAAGGAAACAACTTGAAAAATGTTGCCTCAAATTATATGAAACTTGCCTGGAAATTAAAACTCTATAGATATGTGTGGTATTTCTGGTATCTGATAGGTTGAATAATCGTGCTTTTGAGTTAATTTGGATTTTGAATTAGCTGAACGTGTTCAAAGATAAATAGATAGAAATGCTGCTTAGACTTTCTGTAACAGAATGACTTTCCACAGGGGTTTGAAAGTGGTAATAAGCCATACGGGAAAGTGCCCAACATGCATTTTTGTTGCATTAAAATAATTGGCACTCTTGAGGAATTGGACAGTCTCTTATTCGGGATTGCTGAAGTATCCCATGCTATTCAGTGACTTATCCATAAATATTCTAGTATGTTTTAGAATGCCCCTCTTTTGTTCTTTGTGAAGTGGATATATTATTTGTGTTTTGACCTTTGTCCTTATGTGAAGTTGTGTGTGTGTGTGAAGTATAAAAGCAAGATTTGTAGCTGTGCCACACTCCTTCCTCTCAGGATATGAAAATCACTGATGGGTGTTTCCCATAGCAGTGGGAGCTGAATGTTTTTAATAGCTCTATTGAGTAGAGACCAATGAGGAAGGGCATCCATATTTAAAAATGTGTCCAAATCCCACTTCAGCCCTAAGCCATTGTGAGGATTTTGGAAATTTACTTATATCCTTCTGTTTTAGATATTACAATGTTTATATTTTTACATGAGAAACGTGTGAGAGAATGTAGAAGTTGGGTTATTGGCGGAAATTAGCAAGGCTTGTCAGAATTAGCTCCTTCCCAAAGTCCTGAGCTATTTTGTTTAATTTTTATTTAAGTCATTCATTTTTGTGCTTTCAAGGACTTTCAGTAATGTACTGTATTACCAAGTAATCAGTAAAAGTAGACAAAGGTTCTGGATGGACATTTCTCTAAAGAAGATGCACAAATGATCAATAAGCACAGGCAAAGATGTTCCACATCATTAATATAAAAACCATTTAATACCCACTAGGATGGCCATAATTAAAAAGACAAATTATAACATGTGTTGACAAGGATGGGGAGAATTCTGAATCCATCTACATTTCTGTGTGAATGTAAAATGGTGCAACCACTTTGGAAAACATTTCGTGAGTTTTGAGTGGTTAAACAGAACTGCTGTGTGACCCAATAATTTCACTTCTAGGTTTGTAACCAAGAGAAGTGAAAACGTGTGTCCACACAATAACTTGTACACAAGTGTTTATAGCAGCATTACTCACAATAGTTAAAAAGTAGAAATAACCCAAATCTTTACCAGCTGATGAATGAATGAACTTAATGTATATTCATACAATGGAATATCACTGGGCCATGAAAATGAATAAAGTACTAATTTATGCTACAACATGAGTGAACCTTGAAAACAATATGCTAAGTGAAATAAATAGGCACACATATAGAAACAGAAAGTATATTAGTGGTTACTTAGGGCTGGGAGGCCTGGAGGAGGTGGTATCTAAAGGGGGTGATATCTTTTGGGGGGTGATAAAAATGTTCTAAAATTGATTATGGTGATGAAGGCCACTGATTTATATACTTTAAATGATGAATTGTATAAGATGTCATATCTCAATAAAGCTGCTGTTGCACATAAACAATAGATATAAATACTTTATATGACAAATATTTTTATAATATATATAATTACATTAGAATGTCAGCTGAAACTAGATTAGTGTGTTTTATTGTCATTTCAGTGTTTATATGAAAGTAAAGACTTTTAGAGTGCCTAAAAATTCTTATGGGAAATAGCTAATCTGCGCCCCCTCCCCCATCTTATATGTTAGAAAAGCCTTTTGTTCATAACCAAAACAAAACGTAAATTTTAAAATAGTTTCAGGACCAATTATTAAAAATTCTGAATATGACTAGAATCTACCCTACAATGTTCCTCTTTTTGGCTTGATTGTGAGTTCTCCTTCCCCTCCTTCCCCCCCCCCTGCCCCCCCATTGTCTTATTAAAGCAATAAGAAGCTTAAACCTAGCCCTAACCAGTTTGGCTAATTGGCTAGAGCACTGGCCTTCGGACTGAAAGGTCCCAGGTTCAATTCCAGTCAAGGGCATGTACCTTGGTTGCAGGCACACAGTAGGAGATGTGCAGGAGGTAGCTCATCGATGTTTCTCTCTTATCGATGTTTCTAATTCTCTATCCCTCTTTCTTCTTTTCCGTAAAAAAAAAAAAATCAATAAAATATATATATTTTTTAAAAAATAAGAAGCTTAAACCCAGACAAGTAGTGTTGGTTGATAAGGAGATATATGACACAAGATTCACAGTAATGGGTAGGAATTTTCATCAACAACAAAAAGCATACAAATTAAACATTTGAAACATTGTCTTCAAAGAGTATAAAAGGAGGAAATATATTAAAAGGACTATTACTTATCTCTCACTACACCAGAATTAGACAGGTAATTTGCTATAGGGGAAAAAAAATCTCTTCCAAGCAAATTCCATAAAAGTGGGAGATTAAAGAAGATATAAAGAGTAAACTCAAACTGACTTTAAAAGAGTGATGGGAATTCCTTGCAGAAGTGAACTTTGCTCTGTAATTAACATTTGTCTTTTCTCTCATTTTATCTAGTAACTGATTTCTTAAAAGTACTGTTAATACAAACTATGATCTCTGATATAAAATTCTAATCACACATTGGCTTATATATTTCAACATATGTATTACAACACAGAAACCTGTAGTATGTGTATTAACTTTTGATTTGTCACTCATTACATGGGACCACTGGACAGTAAGGCTTTATCAACTATCATTTTAATCATTCCCTTGACTCCAATCAGGACCTCACTGAAAATTCACCAAGTATTAAATAGCTCTAAACCGAGATATTTAGTTTATATGTCATTAGCCCATTTGGGTCCCCTCTCCAGTACCACTGACTGCCTTCTAAATTAATACCTTGTTCCTCTTCAACACACTAGGACTTGCTCATGTCTAGCCCCATGTTGAGCTTTATGGATACTACAGTGACAAGACAATTGTTGCCCACCCTCATGGAGGAATTCTCCAGTTGTCATCTTCTCTTATTTTGAGGATTATTATTATACTCAGAATAATGACATGAATTGTTTTAATGTCTCTGCTTACAAAATAGGACATTTGAAAAAACACTCCAAGACAGTGTTCTATAACTTTTTCATTGTGCCTGTAGGCTACTCTGGATCTCAGGATTATTACCCATATGCCAGGCCACGTTACCAGGAAGACGCATCCAGGAACTATGATGCCTACACAGGAGGACTGAGTGAGGAGGAACAGCTGGAGAGAGCACTGAGAGACAGCCTCTGGGACCGAGGTAGGGATCTTGTACTCTTCACTTCCTTTAAATCATACCTCACCTGGGGAGATGGCCTAACAAAGGAAACTTTAAATAGTTTGTGAAAAGGATATGTAGATGGAAAAATGTGTGCATGTTGTGATTACAGAGAATGGGGTGTGATGCCGTATTCCAAGCAACCTAGGCTCCTGAGGTGCCAGACTATGTATGTGTTGTTGTAGTGGGTCTTTTTATAGGCCTGCTGCACTCAGCGCTGTGACATTAAAGTCAAGAAATTGTAAAAAACCGGTGGGATGACCTGACATCGTGTGTCTCTTTATATGATGCAGGATGAGCAATGCAGCACCACCTATTGCTAAAAATGTTTACACTGACCCTAATTAAGTCATCAAATGTGAGTGTCGCTACATAGGAAATGCAGGGACTAGCAGAACAAGCTGAATAATGCCATTGAGAAATAACCAGGCAGAACGTGAGATTTCTACAATTCAATGAGGCTAGTCTCCTGGGGGAAAATGTCATGAAAAGAGCAGGATGTGGTTTTCTATTAAAAGGAAGTAATCAAATGTAACATGAGAACCTTGAAAAACTGGCTATAAAAGACATTTTTTAAAGAAAACTGGGGACTTTTGTATTTGGACTAGATATTAGATACTATTCGGGAAATAATCTAGCTTTCTTTGATGTGACAGTGATATTGTGGTTAAGTAGCAGAACGCCCTTTATTCCTGGGAGGAACACATTGAAGTATTTAGAAGCAAAATAATATGATATTGGTAATCTGCTTTCACAGGTCAGCCAAAACAACTTTCTCCTCTCTCTTTGCCTTATTCTCTCTCTTGCTCCTCCCTCCACAAGTTCTACACTCACATGAATTTGGGAAACTCTGCAAACTATACCTCCTTGAAGATCCTGATTAACACTCGTATACAGACGATCCAAATTAGCTCTGTAATCAAGATGCCAATTTTATAAGTAATGCTTCCACAACATGTTTGACCACAGAACTTTATTTTCAGTAGATGATTTTAGGAGTATAGGCATCTATTCCAAAGAAACTGGTTGAAAGAGACTTCTTGAAGTACATTATATAGTAATTGGTGACAGCAACGTGTTACAAATTGTTTACTATATTAATTTCAACTTTCTTTTTCTTAAAACGCTTTGTGATTGTCTTAAGAATGAGACATCAAGGAGACATTTTTGAAAGACCTGTATTATATTTTAGTCCTTTTCTCTGTGGAAAAAATATTTGGTTTGAGTATATTTTATAAAATTCTGACCATATAGTACAAACTATTTTATACCTTACTTTTTTTTCATTCAATATTATATTGTAATAATATTGTAATCATATTTTCTAATGAAATCATATTTTCACACCACTGAATTTTGAACATGTTGTCCTTTGTATTTATTCTTAAATGTATACTTAAGAATCTCTTTATTTGTGGACAGAGAACTATGATACATTATAAATAGTGCTTGTAAGAAAAGTTCTATATTTTTGAAATGATCATATACTTTTTCTTCTTTGGTCTTTTGACATACTCAATTATTTTGATTTTCAGAGTTGAAGCGGGTTTGTACCCCAGGAGGAATATCACCTGGTTGGGATGTTTTATGGTCCCTCCTGATGGCAATGCTGTAGGCACCTGAACAGAACCTGTGTTCTGCTCTAGCTGGGCGACTGTTCTACAAGTGATCATAAAATTAACTGAGCCGATGGCATTGCTCAGGTCTTCTGTATCCTACTGATTGCCTGTCTACTTGTTCTGCTGAATGCTGTATTTTTTACTTACACAGAATTCCCTGGAGTGATACTGAACATATATTGTTGCTCAGGGTACCCTCAGTGCACCAAGGGTTCCTCTTGTGTGACCTTGTTTTTGGGTGGGGGCCGAGTTACCTGAGCATCTACCTGCATTTCAATTCCATGCCTTTACTTCGCACCGGAACTTGGCCAGCTTCTCTGTCCATTCTTGTTGTCGCCCAGGGGTCCACCCTACTTTTTAGTCTGGTAGTGGGAGGCAAGTAGGGGTATGTTTTCATTCCCCACCACATCCAATATTTATGTTTTCTTTCTATATAGAATAAGCCTTGCTTAAAAACATTGAATCATAGTTGGCAAACAATATTATATTAGTTTCCAGTAGAAGAACACAGTGATTCAACATTAACTCTTAGTCTGAGGCATAACTGTTTCTGGTTTGGAGGTGTAGCCTTCTCAGTGTTCCTGTCCCTTCTTCGCGGTAGAGAATGTGTTTTGTTTTGTTTAGCCTTTCTCCAGTCCTTTAAGGATTCTGTGCCATAGGGAGGCCTGGAGAAGGATCTAGGCTGCCCTGGATATAAACCTTCCCTGTAGTGGCTGATTTCTCTCCCCAGGAAGAGTTCCTCTAGACTCTTACCCATATCTTAGGTGAGGACCCTGTGAGGTCCTGAGAAGAGCTGAAAGTGGGTGTGAATTCCTTTATATTGCAGCCCCCAATATATTCTGTGTTTTGTAATCTATGAATAGATTCTGTTTTCTTGCTAGCTCACACTTGAGCTATTTGCTAACAGTTTTGGCTAACATCTTGTTGGTGCCAGCAGTGTCTTCTAGGTGAGCAAGAGCCCCTCTACCATTTTAGACTTCCGTTCAGTTGGGTGCCCTATGTCTCAGCTCTCTGCTGGGTTCAGAAAAAGTTAGTTATTTCCAGAATGTCCAGCCTTTATGTTTATTATGAGGATGGGAGTGATGCTTTCTCAGCTTTCTCCATCCCCAGTGGAAGCTGGGAGCAGCCCTTATTTTTCACCGTGTCTGGAATCTCTCATTCCTAGTACTTTTATTTACTAGGGTTTTGATTTGCTTTTTAAAAAATAAAGATCTTTCCCCCAGGATGTAGGTAGAATCTATAGTCCACTTTAAAAAGGCTGGGTAAATGCTTAATTTTTTGTCTTTGATTCCCAGTTTTTACAATAAGAAGTTAGTGTAGTAGTCAACCAACCACACTGAGATTTGAAAGGGCCAACTAACAGAATTCATTTTGTAGAATGCCATTTTAGCAAGAAACATCCAGAACCAATTAGGTTCAAACTGATCTTCAGTTAAATATATTAGAAGAGTAAGTTAAAGAATCAAGGCAGTACCTTTTTAACCTTAGGCTTGGCTGTTGTCATATTTCTTAACAGTATCTGACCATACACATTTTGGGGCTCATGCTGGGACTAATAGTACCAAGATGGCCTCTGTAGAAGAAATAGCAAAACCCCTATTATTTCAAGGAGCTCGCACATTACTACTCTCAGTGAAATCTTGCCTCGTTTTGTTAGCAGTTTCAGCTTTTATAAACAAGTCCAAGAGGCAGCTGATACCACAATAATAGAACAGTTTTGGGAAAGGGCCAGCTCTTTCATTGAGTCAAAAGGCAGATGCCAGCTAGGAACGTTAGCTCATTGCATTTACTGCCCCCCACCCCTCACTCCATCCTTCCATGTATAATTTGTGCTTTTTTTTGTGTGTGTTTTTTTTTTAATAGCCTGCTACCAAGTTCAGCTGGTGGCTGGGTACAAAGCTGTGTCCTTTTCAGCTTCTGTCTGCCAGCCCTGCACATGTGTGCTGGTTACAGCTGGAACTGCTTGCTAACACGTGGAGTAACTGCTCCTAATCCTAGACTCTTCTGAAAGGCAAATGGCCCCGTTGCACTCGGTTGTCAGTGTGGATCAGGCAGTTGTCATCCCCTCCCCACACTGTGCAGTTGGGGACACCGGTGAGCCATGTGGGGGCCTCGGCAGCAGCAGACTGGAACTGGCTGCAGCCTTGTGTCACAGTCCTGAGATACAAAATGACCAGGAAGCCAAACCGGAAAAAAGTATTTAGGTTTCAAATTAATATCTAGTTCTTCTGTTATTACCGGATCATTTGACGATGCCTTTGAATCTTGTTTATAGGTAGCATGTGCATGGGAACAACTGAGATACATTTTAAGTCAAAAAGACAGAATTTGTTTCCACTCAGTTGCACATTTTCTTTTTACTGAAGCTGCACCAAGGTATCTAAAAGCAGCGTTTGTCCTGTTCCTTTATTATTGTGTAGGAACTTTCGAGAAAATGGAATAAATTATGTCCATGTTCTTTTAATCGTTCATGGTGAGGCCCACAGAGGAAAGGAGGGCCCCTGAGCTTCAGCCTTGTGAGAGAGGGCGCTGTGCGTGTGTTAACACCTGCCAGGTGTGTGCTGTGATTGCTGTGTGGTTCTGCTTTTGTCTTGCCATGGGAATGGACAGCTCTCAACTCTTTTTCTGGAAGTCCTGTCTGAATTGTTGATGTTCTGAGGTGTACTAGGCTGAGGGCCAGAGACTAAGGATAGGTGCTGGAGCTCATTTATTATGGTCTTTTAGATTTGGGTAGCATTTGTTGTTTTGGTTATAAAAGTAATGGGGGAGTGATGGTTCTAGGCCATCTGGCTGGTCTAATAATTAAATCAAAATGAGACAGATTAACAAAAGCAAACAAACAAAAAGAAAGAAATTTAATTACATACGTTTGTATGAGAACTCCATGTATATACGAGAGTCGGACACCCACATACATGCACGAGAGGCGCAGAGACAGAAAGGGAAATGAAGTATGTGTGACAACCTGAGCCAAGATGAGGGAAGGCGCCTGGGCTTCAGAGGGAGGAAGGTCATAGCAGGACGATAAGAAGAGCAAATGCTCAGTAATTAGGTAGAAGTTTGTCCTTCCCTATAGATGTAACATAAAATGTTATTTTTGGTAATAATTATTGGGGAGGCCTGTTCTGAATCCCTTAAAAAAAATCTATAGTTACCATGGAAAGTGTCCATCAACAAAAAGAAGACAAAAAACAATTCATAATCCCACCACCCAGAGAAGAATCACATAACATTTGAGGTGCACCCTTGCAGCAACCTGTAATACAGGCACAGAAAAAAAAAAAGAAAAAAAGAAGAAAAAAAACCACTGTGAATGTTTTGGAGGAATGTTTTCTAGCTCATTGAGCATAAAGTGCCTCTTTC